CTCTGGAGGCACTTTACTGGACAGGAGGTTTCAGGTTTTCATTTCCGTGGCTGGGGTCTGGCTACCCAGAATCCCGTGGGGTTGTTTGATACGGGCTGCCGGCAGACTCATGCAGCCTGTCCTCTGGAAGGAGAATTACAGCAGCAGGTGAGCAAGCCTGAGCAGCCTACAGAGGGAGACACTGTGCACTGCTGTTGTGTACTTTCTGGAGAGCGGAGTCCAGGAAGAGGCCACCGCAGGCACTGCTGTTCTGAAGACTTTCCTTCTCTGCGGCCACAGGTGCTCTGGCCAGCAGAGGCCGACATGTCTGCAGTGCTTACTCTGAGATGTCTCCTGGCTGTGCCCAGCAGTCTGCGGAGCTAGCTTCACTTCCCCCATTTTTCACATGAAAAATGGAGGCCCTATTGCTCCCACCCCTCCAACTTTCCTGGCGTGGACTCTGCTACCCATTACCAGCTGCCCTTCCCCAAGACAGAAGCAGAAAGCAGTGCCTGGAGTGTTGGTCCTCCTCGCTGCCTCACTGCTGTGCTCCCTGCCTTGTGGAATTCTCCCCATCCTCCCTGGTCCTGCCAGCCTCTCCTACTCCCTCAGGCCCACCCAGCCCAGCTTCTCTACCGTAGAGCACCCTGTCTCAAGCTATGGAGTTCTGGGTCTTCAGGGGAAAGCTCAGGGCTTGCTGTGCCCATGTTCTCTAAAAGTCATCTGTCACAGGGTTGGGGAGGGAGAAGGACCCAAGATAACAAGCAGGGGTTACCAGTTCTCATTTATTTGTGCTTCAGTTGACTTCCCGGCTTGCCACCCACTCCCTACCAGATCTAGCAAGTATATGAATAGGTTCAACTCTTCCCAGAGAGGAGGAGAGATGTTCTGAAGTGATTCAAAGAAAAGCCTGTTGAATTGTGCAAGATCTGGTAAATCCACCCACGGGGGTGGTGGAATTTGACATTGGCTTCCAAAGCAGCAAAAAGATGAGTCTCATTTCCTGCCAAGTGAGCAGGCGGTAGTGGAATGATGCCCAGGCTGGCCTCAGGGGACTAAGGTTCTAGCCCAAAGTCACTACCCAGCTGTGTGGTCTTGGGGAAGGCACTTCCTCTTTCCCAGGCCTCAGTTTCCCCACTGAGAACTGAGACTGGAGGAAGGGGAGAAGCATGCAACCCTCCACATGCTTTCCTGTCTTGCCTTCTCTTCTGTGCTTGTACAACTGTGGCTGGGGGATCCTGGCCTTCTCTGCCCAACAACCCATTGCTTCTCCTTTCTGCTTCTCCCCAGCCTACTTCCTGCTGCCTCCCTGGGTGGGACCAGCCTTGCCCCTTGCCCACAACAGTGCAGAACTCCTGTGCTGCGTGCCCAAGGGAACGCCTGCTGTAAGATGTGCCAAAAGAGCGGCATTTGATTCCAATCCAGTTCTGTCCATCCTCAGCCCTCACACATCACACTGCCACCCTGGCTGCTACCCATACTAAGCTCCTCTTGTGTGTTAGGAATTGTGCCAAGAACTTTACATCTCTTGCTAAAGTCTTGCAGCAGTCTCAGGATGCAGATACTCTTAGCATTCCCACTTTGCAGATCAGTAACAAAGGCTCAGAGAAGTCAAGTGGCTTGTTCATGGCCACCTACTTATTAAGTGCAAAGCCTCAGTAGCAGGAAGGTATTCTGACCACCTATTCAGTTCTTAGAGATCAAACATGTGCTAGTGGGAGGTAAAGTCATTGCAAAAGGAGCCCTGTATTTGTCAGCTTTGCTGCATAACAAACAATCCTCAAAGCTCAATGAGTTGTAGCAGATCTGGTTCACATTCCAGGTAAACAAGCTTTGGGTTACTACAGGCCAGCTATAACTTGTCATTGTGGTGTGAGTTTTCTCGGGCCCATGTTCAGGATGAAGGCAGTCACTCCCCAGGGCTCTGGTCAGACTTAAAGGATCATGCAGTCACAGTCACAGTCACAGTCATGGCTTCTGCTCAGTAAGGGCACTCAGCTGACTGCTCACACTTCAGTGGCCAAAGCTAGTGATATGGCCAAGCCATATGAGTTGGGCGCAGAAGTATCATACTCTCACAAGGAGAGGGCCCTGAAAATAAATATATGCACAGTAGAATAGACTATCAACTGCTGGGCTGAGTAGACAAATGCCTGGATCTCATTCAGGCAGTATCACTTAGTAGCTGTCTGGCCTCATCAATGTGCTTCACTACCCTGTGCCTCAGTTTCTCTGCCTGGCAAATGGGGAGGATAAATACAGCCCTGTGTGTGTAGACTGGAGCTGTCATAGCAAAACCCCACCATGGGGGAGTGCTAACAAACAACAGTTTATTTTCCCACAGCTCTGGAGGCTAATCCAGGTGTCAGAGGGTGAGAGCTCTTTCTAGCATGCAGATGCCCTTCCCTACTTCATCCTCACAGGTCTCTTTCTTCTCTCCCCACCGTCAGGGGTCTCTTCTGTGTCTCATCTTCTTACAAGGACTCCACTCACCAGAGTCAACCCTAATACTGCAACCTCATTTAACCCTGGTATATCCCTAAAGGCCCCATCTTCAGACACGGCCACTTTGGGGATGGGGCCTATAATATATAGGCGTGAGGAGGGATGCAGTACAGTGCACAGCAGATCTTCTTTCCTTAAGGTGTCATCTTGATTGAAATGGGTAAGGCCGAAAGGACAGCATCTGGCCTATAAGGATGCACTGAGGAAAGCCGGACTGCAGTTAGTGCTTTGGTTGCAGTGCATCCCACCTTTTACTGATTGGCCCTCTCTGCATGGGTGAGGTCTCAATGAGTTCATATATCCTCTGAAATCCATCCCAACTCCTGGCACACACTAGGTAGTTGGAAAAGAGAGTCTTGACTCATACAGTGAGGCATAAGGCAGTTAGCAGGAGGCAGCCAGCATTGGCGGAGCCCTGGGCTGTGCTCCCCGCCAGGTTGCTGACCTGCTTTGTGACTCAGAGTACATCATTGTCTTAGGCTAGCTGGGACAGAGGTTGCTTTGACAGCAGTCTCTGTAGACTTCATGTTCTCTGGCCCTCTGCCTCTTCCAGAGCAGCTGGGCAGTGTGCAGACCAGAGGCAGCTCAGAGATAGTTCTATAAATGCTCCTGTGAGGTCCAAGGTGACTGTGTCTCCCCAAGACCCCTCCCACAGACATGGTGTCCTCATCAAGCGTGGTGATGACTCTTGTGGCAGGGTTGGGGATGAATGAGCGCCTCTCCGCCAGTGTCTGCAGCAGTGTCGGAGCCTTGTCCATGAGGCTGTGTTTTCTTGAACTCAAATTGCTACCTGCAGACACAGAAGCACTTGGCCCCAGTAGCTCTGGGATTCCATGGCAGTGCTGGAAACCTCCGTGGACTTTGCCATCCTCATTCATGTTTCCGTTTCCACAGCTGGCCTTGCCGAGGAGCGGGTGTGTCTGAGGCTGTTTGCTTAGCAGAGCCTCTGTCAGCTGGAGAGGGGGCGATCAGAGTGTGTAAGGACAAACTGGCCTTTCTGAGCCCTCCACCTGGTATGGCCCTGCACAGCAGGCTTGAGTTGAGCATCATGTAAAGTTGCTGGCCTCTCCTCAGCTCACAGTTCATTACCTGCTGGTGTGATGACTAATCCAGAGTGTTTTGACCCTCTCAGCCTCAGGCTCCTCATCTGGGAAATGGGATCAAAGATGCCTCCCCTAAAATGCGACTATCTGGCTCAGAGTAGATGGTGGTTGTGGTGCTGACAGTTGTGATGATGATGATGGTGACTGCAGTGATGCCAGTGGCAGTGGTGGTGACACTGGCAATAGTGGTCATGGTAGGTTAACCCCAGAGAGCATTTACTACACGTCCAGCCTCCTTTGAGCGCTTCAGTTACTTTAACCCTTTGAATTGGCTCAGCATCCAGGAAGTAGGTTCTGTCATGCCTCCTTTACAGCTGAGGAAGCGGGCTTGCAGCAAGGTGGAGGGGCTCACTGCAGGATTTACAACCACCAAGTGGCAGAGCTGGCACTCGGACCCAGGCGGGCTAGCCTCGCATGTCACAGGAGCATCCTTGGGCTGTCGTCCATTGTTGGCCACAGACTACAGCCAGCTCAGGTTCACAGCCACAGGGAGAGGGACAGGCAGAAGTCCAGTATTCACAAAGTTCTTTGCCTATGACCTCCCCAGGGAGAAAGCATCATACATGCCTCACGGGTGACAGGAGCTGTAACCACAGCTGCTGCAAGCCCACAAACAGTATTGTGTCGATGTTGCTTAATGAGCTCCCTCCTCCCCTTGTTTAGGACAGAGCCAACGTGACACTCATACCACCTCCCAAATTCTCAGATTCACGTTTTCCCTCCCTGCACAAATGCCCGGTTACTTCCTGCCAGTTGAAAGAATGTTCCAGAGTCAGAGCCCATGCTTGTTTCACCCAGGTGCCATCTGTGACCTGTAGCAGGTGCCTCTGTCAGGAGAGAGACTGGCCTTTGTCCTAGGATCCAGCTCTAGGCTGGCGCTGACCTCTGACTTTACCCTCCCACCTACCCCCACACCGGGCCAGGCCAGCTCTGCCTCTCAGAGCGGCCTTCCTCCTCTGCCTGGCAGGTACGAGGCTGTTCCAGGGCCAGTGGAAAGTTGGCTTAGTGTGTGACAGGTCCCAAAAAAGGGGTGTCCCTTCTTGTTTCTCTGTACTCATCCTCCCGGGGCAGCTTTGACTCCTCTCTTTCACTTCCTGGAGTTCTGCAGGTCTTCGGAGCAGGCCCTCCAAATTCATCATTTCAGAACAGGAAATGATCTTAAAGGTCTGTGTGCAGTCTTCATGTTGGGGTTTAGAACAGGAAGTTTAAACTTGCAGGCACCCTCACTCGCGTCCGGTGCCCTTTAGGTAACTGCATTCTCTTCCCGCACTGAGCTGCGTGATGAAGTGAAGCAACTTCACTCTGGCCGTTAATAACCTGAAGGTCTGAGCTAGGCCTGCTGCAGCAGCTCTCTTGTTGGCTGTTCATGCCCTCTCCTGGTGGTAAATCTGAGCATTTATTTTTATCTTTCAGATGGAGAGACTGAGGCTCAGAGGTTAAAGAGCGCCACTAAGCTCACATGGCGGGTAAGTGGCAGAGCTGGCTTTGCACGCAGCTCTCTTTGACTCTAGAAACTGCTCTGACGTGCCTTACTCCTTTGCCTGAAACTGTGTTGACTTGATTGTCCTCTTGCACCAAAGGCTTTGAGCGCTCTCTAGGGGACTCTAGTGACTGTTTTATGTTTTGATAATCTTGCACCAATCCTTGGGTCCACAGGGAAGATCCCCTGGGGAAGAGAATGGAGAAGGAGCGTGGTGTTTGATGAAAAAACCCATAGGTGCCCTGATCAAGACAGACGCCGGGTCCCAGCACTGTGGGTTCAGGGATGAGCCCCCTGGCTGATGGATGCCCAGGCTCCTCTCTGGGGTCCAGGCTCTCTAGGAACCAGAGTCTTGGAGACAGCAGGCCGGGTGTCTCCTCCCTCCCGTGCTGCTTGCCTCACATCCTGCCCTGGCCACAGAGAGGCCCAGGGCACAGGACTCCCCGCTCTCCCTGGGTGGTTGAGCAGTTACACTGTGGCATTTTGTATATTTTGGGTTTAGTCGTTTTTGCAAAAACCAGCGGAAGTGTGTAGGCTGAGTTCTGCCTTCCCGTCCCCGAGGACAGCTGATCTGCTCAGTCAGGGCGGTGGGACAGGAAACTCGCTAACACAAAAGCCGAAGTTTGGAGCCATTGCTCTACCCATGCCCCATACCGGCTGATTTGAGTTCGCCATTGTCACTCACTCATTTCCCACCTGAGGCCTCTGAGGCCCAGGAATGACTAAGTTGCCCTCCTGCGGGGTAGCACAAACCACAGGACACCTTTGTTCCCTGGGCTCTGAAGGCCCCACTGTGTCACAAGTCTCTGTCCCTTCTGCAAATATTTATTGAGGGCTTTACCACTGTTCCCAGCATGATGAGGGCAAGTGACAGGAAACAGATGAATTCCCTGCCCTCCTGGAAGAGGGAGGCAGACAAACAAGTAATTCAATATGCAATTGAGTGTCATTTCATGGTGAAAGCTGTGTCTTAGCTTCTTTCCTTGTTGCTGAGACACAGTTCCAGACACAAAGGAGGAGAAGTTCCTTTTGGCTCACCGTGTGTAGAGGTTTCAGTCCATAGTGAGCTCATTCCAAAGCAGGGCAGTGTGGCAAAGGGGCATTGCGGAGGAAAAACAGATCATGGCCTGGCGGGCAGGAAGTGGAGAGCAATCAAGGAAAGAGGGAGGGAGATGGTTCCAGGCCACATCCCCAGTGACCTACCTCCGCCCACCAGGCTTCATGTCCCAGCATATTTAGCTATATACTCACCAGCGGACTCACCCTACCCCACCTAAGGACACATGAGTCTTTGGGGGGACAGTTAGATATAAACCATAACAAGCTGTGAAGGGAAATACCATAGAGCAAGAGAGAGAGGCAGCAATCCTGCTTAAGGGTGGCCAGGGCAGGCCTTGCTAAGGAGGGCATTTGGGCAGAGTCATGAGTGCCATGAAGGAGCGACCGTAGGGTTCAGGGGTAGCTAAGGAGATTCTCGAGGAGGAATCTGTGTGCTAAGACCTTGAGGCAGCGGATGGACTTGTGGGCCAACACTTGTGCTCTTCGAGTTTGGTTCTGTGTGTTTGTCCTTCCCACTGTTCCACCAACAGGACTGCTTCCCATTCGTTTTCTTCCATCTGTTATCCCCATTGTGCCTGTAGGCAGGAGCTGAGGTTGTATAGCAAAAAAAATCAGACAACTGAACAGGGCAGAGGAAAGATGTGTTTCTAACAGGGAACTACTGGCTTTAATCTTTTGCACATGCCGCTCTGGTGAAATTTGAAACAGCTTCGTACCTTTGCCTTGCATTGATCTCCAGATGATTTGGACGGTAAATTTCCAGCACACTATAATCTGCTATTACAAGACCATTTTTCCAAGCAGAGCAGGAGCCTAGATTCAAAAATAGAGTAAAAAGTGGTGTTGGTACCTGAGCTCCAGAGCTTGCACTGAGCTCAGAGAGGGAGGCCCAGCGGGCAGGGTCTGGGCCAGGAGGGGCTGCAGAGGCCGGCAGCCCTCTGTCCTGGCCTGGGCATCAAGCTCAGGCTCCCTGCCCTGAGCATAGCCCCCACATCAGGCGCATGGTGGTGATATGGTGCTACTGACACCTGCTGTGCTGTGCTGGGCAGCCCTGGGCTGGGCACGCTGGAAGGGAAGTGCTTGGGAAGTCAAGGATCCAGGAGCAGACCCACAGCCTGGTGGGTCCCATCCATCCACTCACTCTGCCTCAGAAGATGAAGCAGAAAAACTCCTCTGTGTGTTCCCCTGCGATCCTGGAGTGCAACAAACTTGCCTCCAAGACAGGCAGCAGGCATGGTGGGGCCAGCTCCCTTTGATTGGCACGCTTCTGGCTCTTAACAAAGGGATGGCTATGAAGGTGGTACTACCCTGGCCACCCCACCTGCGGACTCCAGGCCAGAACTCCTGCCACCTCCCCTACCCAGACCTGTGACTGCAGACCCTGAAACTCCTTTCTGGGAGCCGCAGAATAGCTCTCTCTCCTCCAGGCCCCAGAAGGACTTATTAAGTCTTCCATTAACTGAATCTCATTCAGCTGGAAAAATAATCATCACAAAGCAATTCTGCCAGAATACAAGGCTGTGAGCGCCTGCAGGTTTCCCATAAGGAATGCCGCAGAAGTCCAGCCTGGGAGACGTGGAGCCCGGCACTGCCTCCCACCCCAAGGGGCAGGCAGCTGGTGGTCGTCCTGCGGTCAGTGAACATCACTGACTCAGCCACCTGTCTGTCTGTCCAGTATTACACAGGCCCCTGGGAGGGGCAGGGGCAGGGGCCCAGTACTGGGAGTACAGACAGCACTAATAAGGCCCAGGGTGTGCCCTTAAGGACAGTTCGGGCTCTATTGGCCGAATTCTAGCGAGTTCTTGGCTCAGCTGCCTGCCTCCTGCTCTCACCCACACACGTAAATGTTCACACACTTCCCTTCTCTATCTTGCCTGTTTTCCCCAATTTCTGCCCTAAATTTATTAGTTTCACTTGTTTACTAACTCAGGCTACTCTCTCCTTCCATCAAACTCATTTTCTCCTGGTCTGTTCCATGCAGTGCGTCCTGGAACTCCAGCAAGAAGCAAGGGCTGGGGGCCAGGTGGGCTAAGACACAAAGGTCCCAGTGCAGCGGGGGCACGACACAGACAATCCCTTCACCTGCAGGGGCAACTTCACTGATAATAAAATCCTTGGAAAATACACAGACAGGAACAGAAGTGGACAGCCTGGGATTTGATTTTAGCCCACTTAGGAGCTGACATGTCAGCCTATTCATGCTTCTTGGAGGCAGGTGGAGGGCATGAGACTCCTGGTCCTAGGCCAGGGACTTCGTTACTCTCTGAGCTACAAAAAGCCTGAACTGCTCCCTCTGCCCTCTAGGTCCTCTGGGGGCCAGGCAGAACTCACGCTGATGCCAGCTCATGCTGCAGGTTGCAGTGTAGACCAGGAACCCCAGCCACGCCTGGGGGACCCGCCACGCTGCAGCCCACAGCAAGCAGCCGGTGTTTTTGTTCCAGAGGGAGACATTGCCTCCCATCTCAGCATTGATGGCTGCAAACATCCAGGTGCAGAGGCAGAGCGCTGTGCCAGGGACCCAGAAAGCCACAGAGCAAAGCCACAAATGAGAATCTGCTGACAACAGGAGGCATCAGACAACTCTGGATCTGGGTCCTGGACCTCATGCTTACTTAACGTGAGGCTGGGCAATGTGCTACCGCCAGACCTCTTTTAGCTTTTGTTTCCCCATCTATGAGCTACTGATAGTGCCCCCCTTTTGGGTGACTGTTAAGGAAAGCATGTGAGCTCTCTTCTAGAAGCACTACAGTTGGCAAAAGGAATTTCTGGAAACGGTTTTTTTGCTTTTTTGTTGTTGTTTATTTTTTCCCTGCAAGGGCCCTTCCATTGCTATATTCTCAGATTCTTTTTTAATTTTGAGATAGGGTCTCCCTAAGTCACTAAGTTACCAAGGCTGGGCTTGGACTTTCAATCCTCTTGCCTCAGCCTCTCAGAGTGCTGGGATTACGGGTATGCAACACCACACTTGGCTTCAAGAAACTTAGTTGCACGGCAGCTCCTTCAGCTCTGTGCACAGCCATGATGTTGGTGGGTTGTAGAATGGTGAGGAAATGCAGGGTAACATACTTCATGGTCCTTGGGAAGCTTCTCCCTGGAGGGGCATGTGACTAATCACTCTACACTGAGCCGGGGAGGAATCTTAGCATCCGTAGCCAGAGGAGCCTGGGCAGGGCACATTGTACACAGCTCCTGGGCTTGGTGTACTTGGAGGATGTCAGAGGGGTCATTGTGGCTCGAGAAAGTGAACAGAGGAAAAGCCCAGAATGTGGGGTCAGACTGTGGTCAGGGACCAGTTCATGGAGGACCTTGCAGGCAGGCTGTGAACTTTGTGCAGGGACTTGTGGGAGCCTTTGGGGTAGGTAGGAATGTGGGCAGAGTACAGTGTGGAGGAGGGAAGGAGCCACATGAGTCTGGGACTTGACTGTCCTATGGTTACTGACAGCCTGCTGGTGTTTCACGGTTCTGGCGCATGACATAAGCATCCTGAGCCAGAAACCAGGGACTGCCATCAAGTGCAAGAGAGCCTGAGTGCAGGGAGCCTGAGCTCAGAGCAGAGTCTGAAATTTATGGGGCGATTGTAACGCAATCAGTATGCCCAGAGGCTGAGCTGAGTAAGCAGAAGGGAGTGAAGGCCTTATGGGCAGATTTCAGGTGATACCCTGTCAGAGACTCTGATTCATTCCCAGCCTGCATATCATGTCTATCACACAGGAAGAATGCTGGTGTCCAAGTGTATCGTGGACACCATCCTAAATGTAAGCGGAGCCCAAAGACCTTGTGCTTTTTACCTGCATAAGTAAGAGATAGTTCATCCTAGTAATTCGCCCTATCTAGTATTTGATGATTCCTTTACTGAGAGTAATAATTAGTATGAGGTCAAGTATACAACACACACACACACACATACACAAATACTTGCAGAATTTG